GATGCTGCACTTTGACCCCGGTACACACACAGAGAACTTTGTACGACTGCTTCAGCGATTACTATACGCACTTCGACTTACTTTCTTACAACAGAAGATGCCTCCAGTGACGCTCCCACCTGATTGCCATTGGCGAGAGTTCTTCCCAGACGAGAGTGATATTTATCTGCACGACCAAAACCAGAACGAAGAGAAGACAAGGCTCTCTAAACGTATACGGTCCGGATGGGATTCTGGCAAATCCGCAGTCCAACCAAACATTTCTTGGGCCTCTCTACAGTTCATCTGGTCTTCATCCCTTCGAATTGCTCAAACATTGGCTCAGTCGACGAAGCCCGTGATGCTCAACATGCAGTAGCTGTGCGAAGGCGACATCTTTCTCCTTCACGCGCTGCACCTTCAAATGCCACTGCGAAAGCAGTACGAAACATCTATCGAGTCTTCATCCGGCTCGTAGATCATTTCCTGGATACGATTCAGCGACGCCAATTCCGACTTGCGAGTTCCAGACAAGATGACACGACTGACCTTTGATTCCAGCGCTTCAGTGGCTAACGAATTCGCGGCAGCGTTGTATTCTCGTACAACGTGAAGATATTTAACTGATTGAAGCTTGGCCGCGAGTTCCTTGTGAGTATTCAACAGCGCTAGCAAAGTTTTCTTCCTGCGTGCGATCACCCCTAGGGATTGTTGAATCGCGAGCCTTGAGTCACCAACGATGACTAAATCCTTGGCACCGTGCGCAATAGCAGGCTTGACACCGTTTATCATACCTGTATACATTCACCGTGGTGGCCGAGAGGCAAGCGTTTGCAGCAATCACTATCTTCCACTCAGGAAAGTTCCACAGCACCCATTAACAACTCCCGTAGCCACCGTACTTCTCTGGCTTCGCTGATCCGTCAAAAGACATGACGAATCCGCTGTAATTACGGGGAAGCCTGGCGTACAGCAACGCGGGGTCCATTCGAATAGTCGGAGAACCCTTGTTTGGAGGTGCCACCGGCGCGAGTGAGTATTCCAGGTCGACGAAGCTCGTGATGCTTGACTGCAGTAGCTGCGCGAAGGCGACATCTTCTCCTTCACGCGCTGCTCCTTCAAACGCCACTGCGAAGCAGTACGGCGAGCTGGACCGCGCGTCCGAAGAGAGACTTCGACTTGTGCACCCACTCTAACGTCGAAAATCGTGTATAGACATGTAGCGTCTTTCCTGCCAGCTGGGACGTAACAGATCTTCAAACAGCAGAAGTAACGCCAAATCTTCCTTTCTTGGAAGGATAGTAGTTCATCTCGGTCTCCTTGTGAGCACACGACCGAGGAACCGTACGGGGTGTAACTTGCCTTCGTGTTCTTGCATTAGCGTAGTGCTCAACGCCCATTCACTCGCAAAGAACATGCCGTGGACCTCCTTCGACCGGTCGAAGTGCCTTAGGATGGGTGAATGTGAAACACTCGTCTTCAATTTTTCGAAGGAACGACGTGCCACTGAAATACCACCTTCAACGGCAAAGTCTTCATCTTTAAGCTGGTACAGCGCCGCACCGTAGACCGTGAAGTCTTGAATGAAGCGGCTGTAGTAATTAACCGCTTTAAGAAACGACTGCATGCCCTTCTTACTCGTAGGAAGCGAAAGCTCGGTGATGGCCGCAAGCTTCTTTGGATCAGCCCTGATACCTTCTGACGAAATTTTAGGCGACAGAAAGTCCACCTTGGAATGGCAGACGATGCTTTTTGGTGAAGCTAATGCTGACCCGACACTGTGTAAATCTTGCCACCAATCGGTCCAGCGTCGCCAGGCAACTGTCGAAATCCTCGCCACCGAAGCAAATATCATCCACAAACGACCGTCGACCAAACACGGGACACGGGTACCAGCGATGATTCATCTGGCTCCCCGTTCGTAAACATGTCAGCGACGGGGCTGTTGACGAGTTGTAGTACAGGGTCGGTCTCCACCGGTGCTTCGCGGTCTGCCGCGAACTTCGTTTTAAACGAACCCTCGGCGCTTCGCCCACGACGTTCCTTGGCTTGTTCTTCAGCTAAACGCATCTTTTCCGAGTATTCAAAACCAACCTTCTTTAGATTGAACGAAACCTCAGGGTGCGCTGTCAATCATACGCTGGTAGATCATCGGTGCGTTCTTTAACCCGAAGGGCATGCGTAACCACTCGAAGTGTCCGAGTGTGCAGACAAACGCCGACATTTTATGTGCTCGCAAGGTCATCATGACCACCCAGAAGCCGCTTGCTGCATCCAGCGAGCAGAACCATGGTGCAATTCAAGCACTCCCAGTCGGGCAAATAGGCAACAATAAGCCGTCACGTAAAACCTCCCGATAGTAATCGGCCAATACACAAAGTTTCTTGGCCTTGCCGGATGAACCCTCGCTACAGAGCTTCGAGTTCACCGACAGGCATAAGACACTCAAACAAGCTTGACCTGACGCTTACCTTGAAGCCAGACGGCGCTCTGTGTGCTTGAGTGGAAATTCTGTTCTGTATTTAAGCTTACCCTTCCGGGTCTATTCCTAATAAGAAGTCCTAATCAAGTTTACAAATATCAAGTGAACAATGATCCGTTATGGATCTTCTTGCATGCCAAGCGTCGTCTGCACCGTCGCATGAGTATCTTTAACGGTCCGCGCCCTGTCCCAGACGGTGAACGTGCTTCCAAAGGGTCGCTAAATCTTCCGCGAACTCATCCCAACCGCCACCGAGGGTTCGTATCGTAGATGGTCCGCTGAATGTGAATCAATTGTTAATAATCAGGACAGCCTGGATTCAGTGACATATGAGCCGTATCCAATATCCGTCGAGCGTTCGGTAGTGACGCCGTCGAGTCCCTTGCACCTTGGCGTCACCGTACATCACATGACCGAGGGTTCGTAGCTTGAACATCTTGGGCGGTGTCACGTAATTTGTCGACGGGTGATAATCCGCAACTACGGAAAAATCACTATACCACAACTGCCTCTGTCGCAATGGAAGCCACGATACTGATGCCCGTTGTGACATTTTTTCATTCTCCAATTCACCATTCAGTCACCGTATGTCCAAGCGTTTGAATCGAGCCGTGTTCCGACGCGTTTCATCGTCTCAATCCTCGCCGACGTCGCGAGCGTGAACAGCTGGAGGTACGTCAGCTCATTCTTCTCTTGAATCATCGGCGCCTTGCTCATCGACTAATTCTGAGTCAGCACAAAATGAACGCTGCATGCATAAAAACATTACAATTCGAATATTTTCGAGCTTTCATTGAGTTTTGTGTGAGAAGTGAGCAGTTTTTAGCCGCTTACAAGCTCAAATAGGCAGTACAAGCGGGTAAGAACTTCTTACTAAGAAGTGCAACCTGGACACACCATTACTATCATGTGAGCTCAGAATTGGTCCGTGATATCGACTAAAGTTAACATATTGTGAAGCGTTTGTATAAATGTTATTTGAGGTGCAGGTGGAAGGTGAATGATAGCTAATAATAATATTAATAAAAAAATTGCATCATGAATATTGATGCAAGATCATTAGAGCAATTACTTTAATCGGGCAATATGATGCTAACCCAGATTAATATAATTAAAAAAAGGATTTAGGCACAAAGGGGTTCAGCAGGGTTTTCAATAATTATCCCACCAAAGTGCAGCGGAGGCCAAAGCTAATGTAGCGGCGGCGCTTGGCTAGTAATAACTAATGCCAATTTGGTCTGCTACTTTTGCCAAGCGACCGACTTCCTGGCAACGCTGCTGTACTATGGGAGCAGCACAACTTCTTCTGTCGATATTGGTGCAACTATGTTTGTACCCCACCTGGCCTGTGCTGGCCAAGGAAGTCTTTACAGGCAAAGCCACGACGTACGGCCTCGAACCAGCCCTCGGAGAGACTGAAGCGCGCGTATGGCACCGTACGGCCTCAATTCCTCGTATTTTGGGGCGATGACCTGTGATCAGTATTACGAGTCGTCCAGGTGCAATCGCTGCTTGTCCATCATAGGCGAAAGCGTCACAGTCGCGGCCTTTGTGGCAGACTTGTGCTACGAATGCGACCACGGCACTCTCGATCTGAACACAGCGTTGTGGTACACTGTGGTGTTGGAATTCCCACGTACTACATAGTATTACGTATCGAAGGTCCCTAGTGGAGTCTGGTCAGATCATGAATGCATGGTAGTTTTACAAAGCAGAGTTTCAGACTGCAGCAGAACCGCATGAATCCATGGCAGTGCTTTTTTTATTCAAGACTGTCGATGACAAGATTCATGACGATGCGCAGATCGACACGAGCTTCTGGGTTCACGCCAGGTGGAAGAGCTGCATTCGGGGGGATCGATAATATTCTGCGCATGTCGAAGGAGACATTGACAGCTGGGTGAGATCTGGTGCGTCGTCGAA